CTAGACCGTCGTTAAATGTCTAGACTGTGGAGGGATCATAAGTGCTGTACCACTCTGACACATGAGCAACAAAGTCTTCACGTCGAGCAGGAGGAACACTGAGCCGTTTGCGTTTGAAAGTCCCACCGGGCAGGATGGTATTTCCTATACATAGAGTAGTCAATCTAGGGTGATGATCTGACAACAAATCTGTTACAATAGATGATGTGCACCAGACGTGAGAGACGTTGAAACCAACACAGAGGTCTAGAATGCCTCCACAAATATGCGTAGGTTCAAGGTCACCCACAATCTGCACATCTTGGTGACTATTTAGTAGCGACAGCATTTGATTCCCGTTACCGTTACTGAAGCGAGAGCCACCAATGTCCTTGTGTCTAGCATTGTAGTCACCAAGAATGATGGTGGGCTCTGCTTGAGCGCAGGCCGGAAGATCAACATGATACTGTTGACCGGCAGTTTGTTTTTCTGACAGAAGTTGATGGGGGTAGGCATTGTTTGATGTATATAATGCAAGAGTTACTGGATCTGAGGTTGTAAGAAACAAGTGAGGGCAATTTCGGGGGTGAGGATCTTGCGGGAACTCTGCACTCTAGATTTAGCATAGAATGGAATAGACCTGTAGGAGAAAATTCTGTTAAAGTGCCAGATTTTCGAAAAGCTGATTTTAATAGCCTAAGAAATTTTTTGGGTCAAATAGATTGGAAACTCTTGGGTATGGGGTGGGGGCCGCGGTCTTAGAGCGAGACATATGAACCCAGCGATAGGTGACGTAAAAGGGGATTTCGATGTGGATTTAATATATAACTTATTTAAGAATATTCTAAACAAAGCACAGGAACGTAGTATACCATACAAATTGATTTTTTTTTTTTTTTTTTTTTTTTTTTTTTTTTTTTTTTTTTTTTTTTTTTTTTTTTTTTTTTTTTTAGATATATACAAGAGTTGTTACATTCTTGTAGAGCCACTAGTACGCGTAGCGTTTCGGGCAAGTCCTTAATCCTATGGTCCCTGGAATACGATCCCCTGCCGCGAAGAATCGTTTTTTTATCCAAGTACACATTTTACTGTTGCGTTAAACAGAGGCTACAGTTAAGGAATTGCGCCCAGTAAATCCTCCCCGGCCAGGATACGAACCCATGACATAGCGCTCGCGGAACGCCAGGCGAGTGTCTTACCACTACACCACGGAGACTGCTTCATGGGCGCCCCCGGGTGGGCACGAACCACCAACCTTTCGGTTAACAGCCGAAATAGGTCGAATACTAATGACCCAAAGTGGATAACAAAGAACTTGAAGAACCTTATAGGTAAAAAGAGAGCTTGGTACAAAAGGATTAAAAATGGGGAGGTCACTTTAGAACAGGAATTCGTACAACTGGTTAGAAATGTTAAAAAAGAGATAAGGAAAGCAAAAAGAAACTATGAAGTTCGCATAGCAGGGCAAGCAAAAACAAATCCTAAAGGGTTTTTTCAGTTATATCGTACTAAGACTAGGGAAAGGATAGGTCCATTAAAAACTGAGTCAGGTCAAATAACAGATAGTGATGAAGAGATGAGTAGTATTTTTAATAAATATTTTGTATCTGTATTTACTAAAGAGGAACTTAACAATATGCCTTCAGCCGAACAAGTCTATGTGGGTGGGGACGAGGACAGGTTGACGAGTTTAGCAGTTACCAGGGAGGATGTAATTAAACAATTAGAAAAACTCAAACCAAACAAATCCCCAGGGCCGGATGAAGTGTTTGCCAGGGTGCTTAAATAATGCAAAGAGGAGCTTTCCGAGCCACTGTCTACCATATTTAATAAATCAATAGAGTCAGGCAGAGTGCCAGAGTCATGGAAGGTAGCTAATGTGGTACCAATTTTTAAGAAAGGAGATAGATCACTTGCGTCAAACTATCGGCCAAATAGCCTAACGTCTATTGTGGGAAAGTTACTTGAATCAATAATTGCAAATACAATTCGTCTCCATCTTGAAAAACATAAATTAATAAATGAGTCGCAACATAGTTTTACAAATGGCCGTTCATGTTTAACAAATTTGCTAACTTTTTATTCCAGCATAGTTGAGGCAGTTGATAGTGGTAAGGATTGTGATGTTGTGTACCTTGACTTTAGCAAAGCTTTTGATAGTGCCACATGAAAGACTAATTAAAAAAATAGAGGCTCATGGTATTGGGGGTGCTATATTAACTTGGATTAGGGCATGGCTATTCCAAAGGAAACAGAGAGTTAGTATAAATGGGGTTAAGTCAGAGTGGGATAATGTTGTTAGTGGAGTACCTCAGGGCTCTGTCCTGGGACCTCTGTTGTTTATAATATATAGATTCAGGTTTGAGTAGCAACATTTGCAAATTTGCCGATGATACGAAAATCGGTAGGGAAATTAATTCGGAGGAGGACTCACTATCACTTCAAGTTGATCTAGATAGGGTTTTGAAATGGTCAAATGAATGGCAAATGCAGTTTAATGCTGATAAATGTAAAGTTCTGAGGCTAGGAAATGATGAAAGAGTTACAAGATACGAGCTAGATGGTGTTGAGATTGCGAAGTCGGATTGCGAAAGGGATCTGGGAGTTATGCATGATTAGTAAGAATTTAAAACAAAAGGATCAATGCATGAATGTTCGTAATAAGGCGAATAGGACACTGGGATTTATTAATCGAAGCGTTAGTAACAAGACACCTGGTGTGGTTCTTAAGCTATATCTTGCTCTGGTTAGGCCCCATTTAGATTATGCAGTTCAGTTTTGGTCGCCGTATTATAGAATGGATATAAATTCACTTGAACGTGTCCAACGTAGGATGACTAAGTTAATTCCCCAAATTAGAAATCTTTCATATGAAGAAAGATTAAGAAAGCTTAAGTTGCATTCACTGGAAAGGCGAAGAGTTAGGGGTGACATGATAGAGGTTTACAAGTGGATGAATGGACATAACAGGGGGGATATTAATAGGGTATTAAAATATCAACACAAGGCAGAACACGAAACAATGGGTATAAATTGGATAAGTTTAGATTTAGGAAAGACTTGGGTAAATACTGGTTCAGTAACAGGGTTGTTGATATGTGGAACCAATTGCCGCGTAACGTGGTGGAGGTGGTGTCCCTCGATTGTTTCAAGTGCGGGTTGGACAAGTATATGAGTGGGATTGGGTGGTTATAGAATAGGAGCTGCCTCGTATGGGCCAATAGGCCTTCTGCAGTTACCTTTGTTCTTATGTTCTTAAATCAAGGGACCCAGGATGTGGAATGATCTTCCCAACCATGTTAAAGACTGTACCTCTCTCAACCAGTTTAAGATAAAAACTAAACAAAATATTGGGTAAATACTGGTTCAGTAACAGGGTTGTTGATTTGTGGAACCAATTGCCGCGTAACACTGTGGAGGTGGGGTCCCTCGATTGTTTCAAGCACGGGTTGGACAAGTATATGAGTGGGATTGGGTGGTTATAGAATAGGAGCTGCCTCGTATGGGCCAATAGGCCTTCTGCAGTTACCTTTGTTCTTATGTTCTTATGTTCTTAAACACTAAACACTTAAACAGTTAAACACTTAAACACTTAAACACTACCTAATAAATTCCCTGTAACCTACCTTACCCCTCTATTGTCAACCCATGTCTGTTATTTATTTTTTTTTTTATCAACACTGTTTGTCAACCTATTATATTTGTGCTGCTTTTTCAGTCATGTTCCCCCTTTTTTTTTATCTTTATTTGTATTTGTTCTCAACACATTTTATTCTTTATGCTCAATTAGTATATATTAAGTTCTAGATATTAATGTTTTTCCTGCCCGAAACGCATTGCGTAATAGTGGCTTTAGGCATTGTATATGTACTAGCTCTATCTATATATCGATCCATTAATGTAACATTACTTGTATGTATGTACATTACCTGAATAAACATATTTATTTTTATTTATTTAATCAGCCTATCGCTTCTCACCTCCAGCAGGTTCCACCTGGTCGGGTCTCTTCACAAGTAGGAACTAGCAGACGCTCTTGCCTGTCCCAGTCACATGCCTCATTCGCCCAGGCTGCTAATCGATTTTCCCTCCTGGGTAGCCTTGACACTGACGGAAACTCATCCACAGATACAGACGTGGACGCTCAGTCTCGGCCGGAGCCTATATAGCACTCGTCACCCTCCTGCCTCTCCTCAAAGAAGCCAACACCGGCGTCGTCGACACACCCATCGATCAGGAGGTACTGCTCCAACAGACAGTCCTGATGATCCTCTGGTCCCCCAGGCACTTTCCCAAGGGATTGTGACACCGGGGGAACATGAGGCCCAGAGTGAGGCTCCCACCAGTCGCAGACGCCGTCAAGAGAGTTCGCGAGCCGACCACCGCTTCCGTCAGGCATAGAGAGAAGCATAGATCAACATCCTCTGGACTGGAAGTCATTGATACCACACATTTTACTTACTTTGTATGAGGGTTTTATGGCTTTTTCTAGTGGTTCCCCCTTTGGAGACGTCTGTGCACTGATGGTCAAAAAGTTAGCTGTTGTATTTCAGGGATAATGGCGCCCCATCCTGAGAATACTGTGGTGTTTTGGAATGCCCGCTCCTTTTTAAGAAGACGCAATTTCTACGCAATTTTGATTCCACCCCGCGTCCATGGACTCGTCATCATTCTCGACTCCTCGACACTGCCATCACTCGTCTCCGGATTGGGCACACTTGCCTGGCCGCACATCTCCATCGTCTACGGCTGGTAGATTCCCCATACTGCCAGTGGTGTCCGACCCAGGAGGATACAGTGGAGCACCTTCTTCTTCACTGCCCTCGATTTCATAGCGCTCGCGTCAGACTACAGAGTGCCGTTCGTAGGCTGAATATTCCCCGCCTCACAGTTCCCGTTCTCCTTGACGGGGCAGGTGCGAGAGATGAAGACGTTCGTCATGACATCCTTCGCCATACCTTCCGCTTCATCCGTTATGTCCGTGGCCTGAAGAGACTAAAATTTGTGGCCTGAGGAGATTGTAGGGTCTATGGCCTGAAGAGACTATAGGGACCCCATCCCTCCGCTATTTCCCGGTATCGGGCAGCCGGGGCGCATCCGATCCCACGATCGTCGTCGCCCCTAAATCAACACAACAACAAAACAGTTCTTGTGTTTACTACACCGCCAGTGATTTCTGTTTTCAGCATGTTTCCTACAGCGTCAGTGGCCTCAGCTCCCCATTATGTTTGCTACAGGTTTGTTATTTATGCTAGGTTGTGATTTTGTCCCTGGTATGGCTCCAGGGGGATATGTATATAAAAAAAACCAGTGAAAATGTATGCCTACCTGCTTAAGCTGAACTGGGATATACTTGGCACTGTACCACGAAGTGCCTCTCAATATAATAAGATCTAAATATAATAATTTATATATAATAAGGAAATAAGTATGATTAGAAATTTCCACTCCTGAGCGGTCCGTCTAATTACCACAAGCTACACAAGCTTCAGAAAGCTTATGTTAGTAATGAATAAATATGATATATTTACTCATTATAATGTTGGTGCTGAATGTACAACACGAGAAAACATTATTTTAATCTGAAAAAGTATATTTTTATTAAGAAATTAGACGAAAATAAAGAGCTGGTGACGCCAAATAAAGTTGACGATCCAAGCATAGGTTAGGTTAGTTTAGGTTAGGTCAGCCTAACCTAACATCATATTTATTCATTACTAACATATTGCCAGGAAGCTTTCTGAAGCTTTGTGAAGCTTGTGTAGCCTGTGGTAATTAGACGGACCCCTCCTGAGGGTGACTGAAACATTTCTTTTCCCCTACTGCCATGGATCTATGCATTTTCCTTACATGGAAATGTAATCCAGCCCTTAAGTTTTAACTTAATCTCCGTTAAATAATTCATGAGTAACTGAGCCTTTCCTAACTTAACCTAACCTTACTCCTATTTCTTATACAGTATCCATCAATGATCTGCCTAATGTCTCTAACATTCTTACACCTATATTATTTGCTGACGATACTACCCTCATCTACTCATACCCCAACCCACACACACTAAATAATGTTGTAAACAATGAACTAAAAAAAGTTCACTTATGGATGTCAACCAACAAACTCACACTAAACATAGAAAAGACCTACTACATCTTATTTGGAAGCAAATCAACAAATGCAATTCAGCTTCAGATAGACAATGTTAACATCAGCAATAAAAATGATGGAAAGTTCCTTGGCCTATACTTAGACAAGAGACTCAACTTCAGCACCCACATACAACACAACCAAGAAAGTCTCAAAAACGGTTGGTATACTCTCTAAAATCAGATATTATGTTCCAAACTCTGCTCTCCTCTCACTATACTATGCGCGCATATCTTTATCCCTATCTCACATATGGTATCTGTGCATGGGGGTTCAACCTCTGCAAACTACCTCAAGCCCATCATCACCCAGCAAAAATCTGCTATCAGAACAATAGCAAACTCGGCTTTCAGACAACACTGTCCCCCTGTTTAAATCCCTAAACATGCTAAACATAACCTCACTCCACACATTCTCTTGTCAATTACATTTACAAAACCCTGTTCTTAAGTGCAAACCCTGTTCTGAAACTCATCCTGGACAGATGCAATAGTATTTACCACATAATCACTACACCAGAAATAAATATCACCTTGATATCCCCTTTGAGAGTCGAACTTATCTGTGTAAACACACCATGCAAATAAAGGGACCTGGTCTATGGAACTCGCTCCCTAACGAATTGAAAAGCTGTCAAACTTTTGCCTTATTTAAAAATAAAACCAAAAAGTACTTAATTTCATCTTCATAGTTTCCTACCTAGGTCTTGAAACTTGCACTGTATCTAGTGCTGCCAAATTCCCCAAAATATGTACCTATGCCATACAACTTTACCATTGTAATCATTGCTGTTATCTTATATCATGTTATACACATAGTTTGCTTCATTATATCCTACAATAATCCTCAAATTATGCTAAACTGTACCTGTGGATAACCCTTAAATTTACTTTCATGTACCTACCGTTTTTCTGTCAAATTTCTTATACAATGTATTTTTTTTATACTTTCTTACAATGCATTTTTATGCCTTCTTACAGTGTATTTGTTTATACCTTCTTACAATGTATTTTTATACTTTCTTACAATGTATTTTTATACTTTCTTACAATATACCCGTAAACATTTTTATTTTTGCTAGAAATTACTTTCTTAAAATTATATGTTATATAAGGGATCTGCCTGAAATGCTATGGGTGCTAGTGGCTTTACAAGAATGTAAAACTTCAAGTCTCTGTACTCTAATAAACCCAATGTACCTTCTTGTATATAAATAAATAAATAATAAATAAATCTATGTACTTATGCAAGCATCTATCTTGAGGTTATCTTGAGATGATTTCGGGGCTTTAGTGTCCCCGCGGCCCAGTCCTCAACCAGGCCTCCACCCCCAGGAAGCAGCCCGTGACAGCTGACTAACACCCAGGTACCTATTTTACTGCTAGGTAACAGGGGCATAGGGTGAAAGAAACTCTGCCCATTGTTTCTCGCCGGCGCCCGGGATCAAACCCGGGACCACAGGATCACAAGTTTAGTGTGCTGTCCGCTTGGCCGACTGGCTCCCATCTACCTCAGTGTTTTAGTAAAATCTTACTCATATGTATAAACTTACCCTGTTATCTATAAATGTAATTCTAATTTGATTTATATTAGTCATTTATTGGAATTAATTAATTGAATTCATTTTTATTAAGTTCATACTAATTACAGGATCATAACTAAGCTATCTAAAGTTAATTATCATTAAGATTATTTTACTTTATGATTATTATTTATTATTATTATTATAATTATTATTATTATTATAATACATTATTCTTGTCAATCGGTATTGATTCTTTTTTTCTTGCCTAACTTTTGTATCCTTGGCTATCTACAGTGATCTTTATTTTACTTCTAATTGTTTGTTATATGTGTATATGCATTTATTATTTTTTTGCTATAGTTACTTTATATTTACAGCAGATTTAGCATTTAACTGTTTTGTAATTGCTTGTCTTATTGCACCAGGACCCCACTTCATCTACATGCAAGCTGATATTGATCCTGAACTAAATCTTCTATCAACTTCATCTACATACAAGCTGATATTGATCCTGTACTAACTCTTCTATCTCAAATCTTCAATAACCAGCATATTGATCATCACTCCTTCAGGTATTACACAGCAAATCTTGCAAAAAAAAAAAAAAAAAAATCCAAAATAACACTCATCAGCTTTCAACCAAAATATCAGATCACTTGGTAACATTTTGATGATATAAATGCACTACTCACAGCACCAGGTACTAAACTATTATTCATTATTTTAACAGAAACCTGGCTTAGTAAAGACTACCCAACTCTACAGCTTAGCTGGTTATAAAGCCATTCACAACTGTAGGCCTGATAAAAAAGGTGACACAGCTATATATTACCGAGATACCTTGATCTGCAATAGTGTCATTAGTGATAGAGATGACTACTGTGAATATACCTTTGCTTAGTTCTCGAATAAATACCTTAAATCCTCCTTGACTATTAGAGCTATCTATAGATTTCTCAATACTAACATGGCTTCGTTCTCAGATAACCTAAGGAATCTTATCATAAACAACAATCTCAAGATGTTCACAGTGCTAGTCACAGCACCACAGCATTATTTCATCCATCTAGAAATCTCCAAACGAGTTCTTGTGTTCCTTTACAAATTAACTTGTGGTCAAAAATCACATCATTCTAGGAGGAGACTTCAATATTGACCTAAGTCAACAAAACAACCCCCATGTCGACTATTTCCTAAACTGCATGAACTCCTGTAAGCTAATCCCCACAATCACCAATCCCACCTGAATCACTCAATCATCTGCTACTACCTTGAATCACTTGTGGACTAACATAACAGCTCCCCTTGCATCTGGTATATTCATTGACAGAACAACTGACCACTGTCCTTCCTTTCTCATAGCAAACATGGACATAACACCACCAGAAAACAACAAATTGGCATTCGGGCTACACAGTGAAGCAGCAATAGACAACCTCACAAATACACTTCATAATGTTACCTGGGAATCTGAATTCAGTAATACACAGGATATAAATTCATTAGCTAACCTTTTCCTTTCCAAAACTCTAAGCCTCTACAAACTCATTGTCCCCTCCTCACCAAGCAATTAACTGACAAAAAAATAAACAATTCTTGGCTCACAAGTGGCATATTCAAAGCAATCAACAAGAAACATGAATTTGAAAAAAACATAGTATTGGCCTATTTACAAAGGAAGTAGTTAAGAGGTACTCATCAGTGCTTACCAGTATAACAACAAATGCAAAACTTTCTTATTATGAGAGTAGATTCAAAGAATCAAAAGGCAACATGAAAAGCACATGGAAAGCCATCTCTAACACCCTAGGAATTAAACAACACTCACATAACTAGATAAAACCGCCAAAGGATGGTTGTACACCTGCAACTGATTTAGAAACTGCAACTGAATTTAATAGCTTTTCATCGTTTGGTGCTAACCTTGCCAGAAAAATCCCACAGACTCAGAGACATGTTAACACATCTCTCAGGCAGCTACCCAAACTCTCTTCTCCTTTCACCAGTCAGCCCAACAGATGTTATGTCCATCATTCACTGACTAAACACCAAAGCTGGGGAACATGAGTGAAATACTGTCCATGGTATATAAGAGTGCCTCCCATGCCCTTGCGCCACCCATAGCTCAGCTGTTCAACAAATCCTTAGTTTCATACCCTCTCTGATATCCTTAACCCTTAAACCACGCAATACATACATAAACGATTTGACATAACATAACTTGACATAAGTTTTTAAAACTTACACAAACACTTTCCAATTTGTTTTGCATAATCAACTAGGCAAATGCCCCAACTTTGTCTAAATGATCACAATGTAACTTGAAAAACAAGAGAATCAAAATTAATATTAAAATTGAATATTGAAATCTTCAGATTTTCAATTCAGAATAAAAAATATGAACTATCACCAATTGTTCATTTAATGTTATTATTCTCTCTGAATAGCATATGATCTTCATTTACATTAAATTAGAATATAGATTTTCAGTATAGTTTAAAGTAAAAATATCGTCAATAAGGCATTTGAAATATGTGGCAAATTTAGACCAAAAAATTATACTGTAACTCCAAATGTATAAAGTTTATGAAAAATCCATTCTGAAGGGATTTTAGAACAGCTGAGCACACAATATGTCAAAATAGTGAGAATCAGTCAAAAACTGGAATTTTAGAAGCCACTCAAAGTTGAAACTCTAGTTTCAGAGATAATTGAAGTTGAAGTTATTAGCAATGAATAAAGGTACAGAGCACCACTTGGTTTCTGAACTTAAGTTATCCGAAACTTCCAGTTTTCCGATTGGGGTTGGGGAGTCATGCTACCCGAACAAAGTTCGGGTAGGAAGGGTTATGCCAAGCATCACGCCGGCCTGTGGTGGTGGGTGGGAGATGGTCCAGTTTGCCTACTGTGACTTCACAGATTCACAGTCTATTATTCCTATTATTTTGAATTGTCATAAGGCTGGAATGTTCATTCTGTGCTTTTGTTTTATATATCTGCACAATCAAGAAACATCTGTGCACCATGTTGGCTCCAAATGCACACACTGCGTCAGTGATGGCTGACCGGTGGGTGGATGGATGGGGGAGCTTAGGTGAGAGGCAGTATGAGCGAGAGGGGGAGAATCAGTGAGAGAGGGGGGAGAATTAGTCAGAAAGGGAAGAAGGGGGAGGTAGGGAGAGATGGTAGGCAGGAAGGGAGGGAAGTAGTGAGAATTAGGGAGGGAGGGAAAGGCTGGCTGGCAGGCTGGCTGGCTGGCAGGCTGGCTGGCTGGCAGGCTGGCTGGCTGGCAGGCTGGCTGGCTGGCTGGCTGGCTGGCTGGCAGGCTGGCTGGCTGGCTGGCAGGCTGGCTGGCTGGCTGGCTGGCTGGCTGGCTGGCTGGCTGGCTGGCTGGCTGGCTGGCTGGCTGGCTGGCTGGCTGGCTGGCTGGCAGGCTGGCTGGCAGGCAGGCAGGATGGGTGGCTGGCTGGCAGGAAGGCTGGGAAAGAGGCAGGCAGGCAAGGCTGGCAAACAGGCAGGCAGGCAAGGCTGGCAAACAGGCAGGCAGGCAAGGCTTGCAAACAGGCAGGCAGGCAAGGCTTGCAAACAGGCAGGCAGGCAAGGCTTGCAAACAGGCAGGCAGGCAAGGCTTGCAAACAGGCAGGCAGGCAAGGCTGGCAAACAGGCAGGCTTGTAGGCAGGCAGGCAGGCTTGTAGGCAGGCAGGGAGGGAGGGAGGGGTAGTCACGCAGTTCAACCGCGTGACCTTGAAGAGAGAGTATGGGATGTAGGGGGGGGGGGGGTTGTCGGTGGTGGGGGAGAGACCGGCTCACTCCTGAAGATAAGCCTAAGACACTCGACCCATTAGCATGATGGCAGGGAGGCAGGCAGGCTGGATAGCAGGCTGGCTGGCAGGCAGAGAGAGAGGCAGGCTGGCTGGCTGACTGGAAGGCAGGCTGGCTGGCAGGCTGGCTGGCAGGATGTTCCTGCAAGCTGGCTGGCAGGATGTTCCTGCAGGCTGGCTGGCAGGATGTGCCTGCAAGCTGGCTGGCAGGATGTTTCTGCTGGCTGGCTGGCTGGCTGGCAGGATGTTCCTGCAGGCTGGCTGGCAGGATGTGCCTGCAGGCTGGCTGGCAGGATGTTTCTGCTGGCTGGCTGGCTGGCAGGATGTTCCTGCTGGCTGGCTGGCAGGATGTTCCTGCTGGCTGGCTGGCTGGCAGGATGTTCCTGCTGGCTGGCTGACTGGCTGGCAGGATGTTCCTGCTGGCTGGCTGACTGGCTGGCAGGATGTTCCTGCTGGCTGGCTGACTGGCTGGCAGGATGTTCCTGCTGGCTGGCTGACTGGCTGGCAGGATGTTCCTGCTGGCTGGCTGGCTGGCTGGCAGGATGTTCCTGCTGGCTGGCTGGCTGGCAGGATGTTCCTGCTGGCTGGCTGGCAGGATGTTCCTGCTGGCTGGCTGGCTGGCAGGATGTTCCTGCTGGCTGGCTGGCTGGCAGGATGTTCCTGCTGGCTGGCTGGCAGGATGTTCCTGCTGGCTGGCTGGCAGGATGTTCCTGCTGGCTGGCTGGCAGGATGTTTCTGCTGGCTGGCTGGCTGGCAGGATGTTTCTGCTGGCTGGCAGGATGTTCCTGTTGGCTGGCTGGCTGGCAGGATGTTCCTGCTGGCTGGCAGGATGTGCCTGCTGGCTGGCTGGCAGGATGTTCCTGCTGGCTGGCTGGCAGGATGTTCCTGCTGGCTGGCTGGCAGGATGTTCCTGCAGGCTGGCTGGCAGGATGTTCCTGCTGGCTGGCTGGCAGGATGTTCCTGCTGGCTGGCTGGCAGGATGTTTCTGCTGGCTGGCTGGCTGGCAGGATGTTCCTGTTGGCTGGCTGGCTGGCAGGATGTTCCTGCTGGCTGGCTGGCTGGCAGGATGTTCCTGCTGGCTGGCTGGCTGGCTGGCTGGCTGGCTGGCAGGATGTTCCTGCTGGCTGGCTGGCAGGATGTTCCTGCTGGCTGGCTGGCAGGATGTTCCTGCTGGCTGGCTGGCTGGGTGGCTGGCAGGATGTTCCTGCTAGCTGGCTGGCAGGATGTGCCTGCAGGCTGGCTGGCTGGCTGACTGGCTGGCAGGATGTGCCTGCAGGCTGGCTGGCTGGCTGGCTGGCAGGATGTGCCTGCAGGCTGGCTGGCTGGCTGACTGGCTGGCAGGATGTGCCTGCAGGCTGGCTGGCAGGATGTGCCTGCAGGCTGGCTGGCTGGCTGGCAGGATGTGCCTGCAGGCTGGCTGGCTGGCTGGCATGATGTGCCTGCAGGCTGGCATGATGTGCCTGCAGGCTGGCTGGCTGGCATGATGTGCCTGCAGGTTGGCTGGCTGGCTGGCTGGCAGGATGTGCCTGCAGGCTGGCTGGCTGGCTGGCTGGCAGGATGTGCCTGCAGGCTGGCTGGCTGGCTGGCAGGATGTGCCTGCAGGCTGGCTGGCTGGCTGGCAGGATGTGCCTGCAGGCTGGCTGGCTGGCTGGCTGGTAGGATGTGCCTGCAGGCTGGCTGGCTGGCTGGCTGGCAGGATGTGCCTGCAGGCTGGCTGGCTGGCAGGATGTGCCTGCAGGCTGGCTGGCTG